AGACAGCGAGACACAGAGAGACAGAAAGCGAGAAATCACCCCCCAGGGGGGGATGGCCACGCCACAATCCCTTCTCCTCCATTCTCCTCTTGGGATCTTAGGCACGCACACACACGCGCCCAGTGTGAGTTTAAGCCACCAAATCCAGGTCTCCAACTGCGGTTGACTACGTAGGAGTCCAGCAACATAGCCATTTCGCTAACTGCTGGTCCCACTCTGCTCCTCGTAAACATTAAATTGGTTTTTTGTTTGTTTGTTTTTTTGAGAGGTTTTTGCTATAGGATGTGTGTGCTCACCAGACAGACCAGACAGACAGAGACAGACAGACAGAAAGTGAGAAATCACTCCCCAGGGGGAGTTTGTGGCAGGACCAGATAGACTAAAACCTAAGTTTTCTGTGGTTACCTGAATCTATTGACTTTGTTTAAAGGAATCTGCTAAGCTCAAGCTATGTCTCAAGATATTACCAGGGAGAGAGACATTTAGATTTGCAAATCTAGTAGTATTTTCAAAGCCATTAGCCAGTGAACAGGATACTTTGAATGTATGAAGTATATTCCTACCTTGTGAGCTTATTTCTTGGGGTGATAATACCCATATCAGCAAATATGGCAAGTAGCTACTAGTATAAAGTGTCATTTGCTCAATACCTCCCCCAAAAATAATAATACAGGGGCCAGCAGGTGGTGTGGTTGATAAAGGTGCTGGATTCCTACATTGGCCAACTGTGGTTTGAGTCCTGAGCATGGTGACTTGCTTTCTCACTTTCCCTTTCTCTCTCTCTCTCTCTCTGTCTCTGGTCAAATTTTAAAAAATAATAATAAATGAAATTAAATAAATAATTCTTTTGAAAAATGATACAGACGGTAGATGTTACAGCAATTCTAGGGAAGTGATGACTTTGACAGACTGAGTAGTTAGGGCAGCAGGAAGGCAGGTGCTAGAGATGAAGAGTGTAACTGTAACTGTGGTCAGCCCTGTGGGAGTCCAGTGCCTTGACCACCACACCACCTGCTGGCCTAAACATTTTTTTAAAAAGAAAAAAAAATGTTCATTAACTGTCTCTAAATGATGTGGTGACTTAAGAGTAGTTTGCGACCAGCAGATGGTATAATGGTTATGTTTCTGGACTCCCACATGGCTGACCATGGTTCAAGTCCCAGACCTGGCGGCTTGAAACTCATGCTGGGCATGTGTGCGTGCACGCCCAAAATCCTGAGAGGCGAATGGAAGAGAAGGGACTGATGTATGGCCATCCCTCCCAGGGGGGTGACTTGTTGCTTTATGTCTGTCTGTCTTTCTCTGTCTCCAGTAAGCACACACGCTCTATAGCAGAAATTTATCTTTAAAAAAAAAAAAAAAAGTAAAGAGTAGTTTAAGATGCCAGGACATAGAAGAACACATTGTTGGACTGGCCCTGTAGCACAGCAGTTAAGTACTGGGTCTAGGGAGCTGGGGCCCACATGGCCTACCTGAGGCTCAAATCCTAGCCCCAGTGGCTTGAAAAACTCACCAGGTGTATGCACACATGCCAAAATCCTGGCAGGATGGGCAAGTGGGAGGAAAAGGATTGTGTGTGACCACACCGCACTGGGGAGTTCTCGCTATTTCTCTTGCCTTCTCTTGAGCATATATACTGTCTGGCAATAACGTGTGTGTGTGCGCACGCACATGCGTGTGTGTGTGTATAAAACTTTAAACAAAACAGATTTTCCAAGAGGAAAATATTTAGTTGAGGGTTATAAAGATAATTAATTTTGGAAAATAAGAATAGGCCATGTAGAATCTAACATTTGTTTCAGTTCAGTAAATGTTCATTGAGTGTCTGCTGTGGCTGTCGGTAATGTGTTGTGTCAGCAACTATTGGGGTGCACTGAAAAATACAAGTATATACATATATATATATATATATGTATATGTATATATACACACACATACATGCACTTTTCTTTTTTAGTTTTCTGTAGGGCATATATATTTGCTGGAGGTGGGGGGAGTGAGAAATCACCTCCTGGAGGGGATGGCCATGCTGCAATCCCTTCTCCTCTGTTCTCTCTGGATTTTGAACACACATGCACACAAGCCTGATATGATTTTTCAGGCTGCCAGCCCGGGACTTGAACCACTCAATTGGCCATGTGGGATCCAGCCACCTTAACCTCCATGCCTCCATGCCACCTGCTGGCCCCAGTGCAGTTCTGTTCTTAAGAAGTTCACATGCTGGTGGGTTGGGGGCCACAACAGGGAATGTTTAACTTGCTCCTTCAAAATAAAAACGATGGAGTGGAAGTGGCATATTTAAGGTTTGATATGATGGTAGTTCAAGAATTACACTGAAATTGGGGAAAACTGGAAATCTAGAGACCAGTTGATAAGAAGAGTCTGCACCCACCTAAGCTTACCAGCTCATGTTCAAAGAGCGCCCCAGGTGGAGGTTACAGCTCAGACACGTGCTGCAGTGAACCCCTCGTCACCGAGACAGGACTGTCAGTGTAAAATAGTGCTGCACACTCGTGGTCGCCACGCCCTCATCCGCTCATCCACTCAGCACATACTAATCAAGCACTTACTGTAGGCCTGACCACATCCCCGCCTTGATGGAGTTTGCATTCTCGGGACAGCCAGGCCAGGCCAAGTGAGCTGTGCGAGCAGGTGCCCAGCATGTTGTCAGCCACATAGTAAGGAGCCAGTCACTGTTGGTTACTGGGTTTGAACTTGAGATTCGAATGAAGTCCTTACTTTGGGGAAGGTACCTCTACAAGGTAGTTGTGCTGGGACCATGCAGTTAACACAAGCTGAGTATGAAAGAACAGCCCCTCATGCCTAAAAGCAAGGACTCGGCTGAGGAGAACTGTTTGCAAGGTCAACAGTTTTATGAGTTCTGGACCTCCATTGTGTTGCTGGACTGGCCTGCACTCAATTTCTCTGCCATGAGCCTTA